GGCTCACTTTTTTTTCTCTCTCCAACTGCTTTTTTTTTTTTTATCACAAACCCATACCTTATATATATATATATATATATATATAAATATATACAAATCAATTGAGCAGCACACATACGTTTACAACCTGCGGCAGCCCCAACCGCGACGAGCTCCAAGAGTGTTCGCGGCTCTTCTTTCTTTCCCTTCCTGATTCGTTGCTCCTCTCAAGCTTCACCCATAGCAATAGCACTTACAAACCCAACTTCACTGCATCAAATTGTTCGAAACCCCTGCCACGCACAACTTCTTCAATTACGACCCAAACTCACTAGCGATCGGCAATCACCCAACCCTCGCAGCAAACCCAAAATCAACACTCCGCAACCAATAGCACCACCGACTGTTTCCTAGCTCGTTGTCGACGACCTATACGATTCGCTCGTACGTTTCTTCCCTCTTTTCTTTCTCTAACAGCTTGCCTCTCTTCTCTTTTCCTTTCGTGATTTTGATGTTTGACCAACTCTACTTCAAACAACCCAATTGTTGACACCAAACCCTAGCCCCAATCCAATACCCAGAAATCGACCTCCAACATCGCACCTTGCCTCAATCAAAGAAAGCGTGCGAGTCGCCTCACCACTCCACACCTTTGCGACCCACCGGTGATCTCTAAAAGCTGGAACACAACTTGGATAGCCAACCAAGCTTAGAGAGAGGGAGACGGAGTATAGAAGACCCAGAACTCAACTTGGATTGAGAGACTATGGAAAACTTCGACCCAAACTCAAAAAGAATGGTATAGCAAAACCCTAGAATTGCCAAACTTCTTTTTTTTTTATTTATGGTACATTAATCTAAGAAACCCAACTACGGATAACCATGTCAATAAAACACACTTCTGTACAATGGGTAAAAGGAGCCGACAGGGCAACCAGTCGGAAAATACAGAGTTCCTCTCTGATAATAAAAAATAAAATCAAATAAAAATAATAATAATAATAATAATATATATCCAAATATATATACATATATATACATTCTGAGGTTGTACCTTCCCAAGGAAAAATTCTTAAACTAATCAAAAATTCCCTTTGCTTGTTACAAACACTAAAAACAGACTGCAACAACCTTCTCTCCAAAAAGCTATGGCAAGCTACCATGGCAGCTCCAAATCAGCAGCTATTAATGGTCTGATTTAAACCTATAACTTCAATCGATGAGTAACTCCAATTGATGAGTTGTCTTCTCCATAGATCGCTCTTTCCCAACAAAAAGCTGCAAAAGTCAGTAAATTCACCCCCTCTTTCCCGATGCAACCCCATCTTTATAAGAGAACAAATGCAAGACAACAACATGAAAAATGTAAGCAAATTCATATCGACTCGCCAACACTCCTTTCAACTTCAACAACCTATTCTCTTTAAATGGCTTCCGGAGGAGAGGGGCACCAAGATAACACCGTTTGGCGGCCGGTGAACAAGGCTCCAAACCAAAGAGGTTCAAAATATAGAGTTTCAAGCTCCAACTCTAGAGCTTCAAGCTCCACTCCTACTCACCACCGCCACTTGGTGTGTGAGTTCTTTCGAAAGATGCTCTCCATGTCCCATACTTGATTTTTGCTAAACCAAGAAATCAACCTCACTCTCCAGGGATCCACCTGCCAAGCAAATCAGGACAGACTGCAACAACCTAACACTAAAAACAGACTGCAACAACCTTCTCTCCAAAAAGCTATGGCAAGCTACCATGGCAGCTCCAAATCAGCAGCTATTAATGGTCTGATTTAAACCTATAACTTCAATCGATGAGTAACTCCAATTGATGAGTTGTCTTCTCCATAGATCGCTCTTTCCCAACAAAAAGCTGCAAAAGTCAGTAAATTCACCCTCTCTTTCCCGATGCAACCCCGTCTTTATAAGAGAACAAATGCAAGACAACAACATGAAAAATGTAAGCAAATTCATATCGACTCGCCAACACTCCTTTCAACTTCAACAACCTATTCTCTTTAAATGGCTTCCGGAGGAGAGGGGCACCAAGATAACACCGTTTGGCGGCCGGTGAACAAGGCTCCAAACCAAAGAGGTTCAAAATATAGAGTTTCAAGCTCCAACTCTAGAGCTTCAAGCTCCACTCCTACTCACCACCGCCACTTGGTGTGTGAGTTCTTTCGAAAGATGCTCTCCATGTCCCATACTTGATTTTTGCTAAACCAAGAAATCAACCTCACTCTCCAGGGATCCACCTGCCAAGCAAATCAGGTATTAATCCCACATTTCAAGAGGATCTGCATCAATATCCTCTCGCAAAGACCGACAGAGAGAGATCTAGACCACCACATCTCCATTATGTCAACACCGTTGGAAAACCCAAATGAAGATTTGAGACTTAGGTGGGACAGAGAGAACTTTGTAGATCTCAACATGGGAGAAGAGAGCGCTTCCCGCAACGCTCAGCCAAACATCTCCCACAACATTCCGCTCAACATCCTCTTCTTTAACACTGAGGGCGTCGTGTCCCAACTTCCTCCAACACTACATGCACCTACATTCTAGCGGACGCTTTTACCTTGTCATCATCACAAACACGAAAAAAGGGAAAGTGACGCCCAATTCATGAGCCAAATCATGGGCTATCCTAACACCAAGGCTATGGCCCCCCCTTCTAGTGGCATAGAAAGGGTGATGAGTGGAATTTGGTGCCTATGGAACGAAGCTGAAATCTCTTGTGAAGTGGTGGAGATTCCTTGCAATCAAGCCATCGCCCAACAAGCCCACATCTTCATCCGGCCAGCTCACACCGGATGAAACTTAAAATGTAAACTCTCCATGAACAATCCAAATTATCTGAATACTTGTCTGCATGAGCTAATATTTTCAAAACTTTTTAACACAGTCATGTACAGATACTCTCATTAACTATAAGAGCATCTGTATAGGGGGGGCATTATTGTGGTACTTGTATCAAGCCCAATACGTGGCAAGCCTTATAGGTGTCACATCACCAAAACCCCACCCACGTGGCAGACCAATAAGGCACCACGTGGCATGTCGTATGATTGACACATGGCGAGCCATATGGGCGCCATGTGCCAAGGTACTACGCAAAACTAAGACTATATGCTTAGCCTAAGCGGGAGCATACATATAAACTCAAATATATCTAAATATGAAGAGCCCTACAATGGGTAGCACCATGGCCTCGCAGGGCCCATGATACTTCATATCTCGCTTCAAGACCAAACAAAAATATAATTAGCCCCGGTTCATTTGGACTTGGATTGATAAACACTGGCTCTCCTAAACATTAAGATAGGCCTACAGCTCATTCTCTTACTTGGTCGCCTAGAAGTAAGCCCTTTTCCTAAACATTGAGATAAGCCCGTGGCTCATTCTTCTACTTGGTCGCTTCGAAGCGAGCCCCTGGCTCTCCTAAACACTAAGGTGGGCCCTGGGCCATTCACTTACTTGGATGCCTAGGTTGGGAGCAGGACCCAGGCACTATTACTCGGGATCATCAGAGGATACTGGACTGGCGACTGAGGTCATGGGATCGTCGAGATGGTTGTCTTCTTGCTAAGACAACTACATCTCGACCAAGCTTGGGGAAGAGCCAACAACGACCTTACATTCATGCCATCCGATGCATATATGAAATGTTACTTTCCGTCTGCCATGAAACATTGCTCTCTGCCTGCCGTCAACCCACGGACGACAGAAGGGCTTATATCACTTCTAGCGGAGTTGAGGAGAATGAGCCACCTGTCCAACAGTTTGCTTGGGCTCCAATACTTCTGTGGCCTATATAACGTATCGTATATGCAGCGAGACACAACAACAATACAACCAAGTCTCATGTTTAAACACCCCCCTCTCACACTCTACATTAGTGTTCAAGGTCTATCACTGCCAATCTCTCCCCCTCCAAGCTTGCCTTGACCCCCTCCTCTCCACCTCCGGTGATCTCAGGCCATTGAAGTGCCCGCCATCTTCCCGGACTACCTCTAACCACACCTCTCACCCACAGACAGTTGTGAAATAATAAAAAAAAGGAAAGTTTTTGGTACTTAATTCTGTCACATGAAACTACTGGCATTCTACAATGAGGTTGTTAATTTCATTTTCATTGGCTATGGTATGTAATCTTTATGTCAAAAGTATATACTTTGAGCTTCTGAACGAGCACAATTTGTTTGAAGCAACTAATGTACAACTCTAGTTGAACATTCCATAAAAATTTTTGTTATGTAAGATATTGATCATGGTATTAAAAAAAAAGGACAAAAACGTTGGTGGTAATTATGTCTAAATATGCAATGTGGCTTATATGGTTATGTGCTAAATCAGAGATCTCAGATTGGAGAATGGGAAAAGGAAAGGCTGTTGACAATTATACTTGTGCATGGTGGTGTATGCAGGTGCAGTCTTAATCAGTGACAGAGGGAAGATTGCTGGAGCTTTCAAAATGTTGAGGCTGTGTTCAGAAGGGTCTGAATTTGAATTGATTTAATACATGCATTCTTTTGATTCAGAACTTTAAAGATGGCTGGGCACTAATGTAACCTCATGGCCCAACGAAGCCCTGTTCACATTAACTCGATCAAGTATAGGAAAGATTGGATTTCAGATAGGAGCAAAGGATTATATATAGGTGAAGAACACACATGGCAATCTCAAAAAAGAAACAAGGATAGCAGTATTATGGAATTGATGTGTTGAATTGTTTGTTGGTGGAATTGATATATTCACATTGATATTCAATTGTCCATAGATTTCATCAATCATGCTTTTACATGATACTTTATTGGAATAATGGACAGTTATTTTTATTGTTTGACAGAGTAAGTGTATATCTGGACCTCAAAAGCACCCATGGCAGCATTTTTTACCATGCAAGAGATGTGGTAACTTGTTAGGTGGCTTCTGTCAATAGTTAATCCTTCTAATGTCCCATGTTTGGTGCAGCTTATTGAAGTTGTTTAAAAGTGTTTTTTATTTTTAATTTTAGAAAAATGTTCTAGATTGTTTGATGCAATTATGTTTGTAGCTTACTAGACAAAAATAATTTAAATATTTGAAAAAATTTAATTATAGAAATAAGTATCGTTTAAGCTTTTATTGTCTTATTATCAACTTATAACTTAAGAAAAGTTATGCCAATATATATATATATATATATATAAACCCTAAAAAATATGGAAAATCATAAATATTTCTTAATTTGTATCAATTGCATTCTTAAATTCACACATTAATCTAATTTAATACCCTACCCTTTCATCAAAAAAAAAAATATATATATGATAAATACTTGTATCACTCTTATATTTGGCATTTGAAAGATATTAGAATGAATTTATCTTCTCACCGATATGCTCATATTGGTGATGCAGTACCAAATAAATATACCTTTAGAAAGATCAGAAATAGTTAGAGCAGTAATTGTATCTGTAATGATTGATAATATTGTTAGCTCCACTGCTCAAATGAAACTCCCACTTAGTCCACTTTCTTCATTATCTGAAGGTGGCTCTCCCATTCTTCTACTCACTCACTAGTGGAAGAGGTTGGTGGCAACCAATAAGCTCCTCCCTCAATTGTGAATAAATTGAGATGAGGAGGAGGGGTTTGAGATATATTGCAGTGTGTGTAATCTGAGAGAAGATTGTGAGAAGCAACAAGTGAGAGTGTTATAGTGACAGAGTGAGGTGTGAGTGTGTAAACTCCTTCCGGGAAATTCTATAGTGGATAACTCTTTGTAGGCGTAGGCAATTGTCGAACCATGTAAATATTCTTGTGTTATTGTGTGATTGATTTCTGGTGTCTCACAGTCCCAACAAGTGGTATCAGAGCCGAATTGGTTGCGTTTTGGAAAAATAGAGTGCGTTTCTTCGTAACTGCTAGAAATCAAGTTGCTTAAAATCATGTTTTGAGCATATCAGGAGCAAGGTCTCGAAGAGAGGAGTCCAAATCTACAAAGCAGAGCTCTAGAAGCCTTGCCACGCGCCCACACGCGCTCCTCAAAGAAAGCACGTGAAGCCCAATTTCACCACGCGCCATTGACACAGTCGGCGCGTCATTCCACGCGCGACTGAAGGAGAAGGACGAGCCACGTTAGCGACCAGTCAGCGCCCAGTCATCACCATGTGTTGTCACCTCATCGCCACGTCATCTACTACGTCTGTGCCACGTGTCGGCCTGTCAGCCACATGTCGGACATGTGTCAGCCACGTCAGCCCATTTAGTTGACTAGTTAACCTTCCAGAGGAGTGATCCAGTGCTTCGCGGCTAAGGTACACCCGCAGATCTGAATTGTCCAAACTGTTTTGGCTTGATCTAAGCCATTCTGTGTCCATTTTTGACGATCCAATAGTGCTTTCCAACTATTTAAAGTATTCCAGACACATCTGTACGGTCAGATTTTGCAAATCCTATTTCAAATATTTTCAGTTTGTATTTGGACAATTCGAAGTGCTTTTCCAGCTAATTTGACCAGTCCGGACTCAACAGCGAAGCCTGTTTTTCAGACAGAGATTATTTTCTGTATAGACAAGTGTTGATGGAGGAATTAACGTCGACTTCAGGATTTATGTTCAAGTTGACTCCTTCCAATTATGCAATTTGGAAGTCACGGATGGAAGACACCCTGTATTATAAAGACCTATTTGACGCTATTTTTGTAAAAGGGGTTAAACTAGAAGCAGTGAAGCATGATGACTGGATAAAAATGAACCGCAAGACTATCGGTTGTATCAAACAGTGGAAAGACCACGGTGTGTACCATCATGTCACCGAGGAGATAGATGCCTATTCTCTATGGACAATGTTAGATGACGTGTACCGGTCAAAGACCGTTCGGAACAAAGCCTTGGTGATGAGAAGGCTTGTCAATTTGAAATTGAAGAATGGTATGTCTGTCGCCGAGCACACCAGTGAACTCAAAAATCTGGCAAATCAGCTTGCAACCTTCAAGATGCACTTAGACGATGAAATGTAAGCCGTTCTACTGCTCAGTTCTTTATCGGATAGTTAGGAGGCGTTGGTGGTTTTTCTCAGCAACTCTGCACCAGAAGGGAAGCTGATTATGAGCATGGTCACAGACGCCATGTGCAATGAAGAGACAAGGCAGAAAGACTTAGGTGGAGATCAATCATATGCCCTCATCACAGAAAATAAAGATAGAGGCAGAGACAGAGAAAGAAGCAAAAGTAAAGGACGCAACAAAGGTAGATTTCAAGACAGAGGGAAATCCAAAGAAGGTACGAACCAGCTGAAGTTCAAGTGTTTCCATTGTGGCTAGGAGGGTCACATAAAGAAATATTGCTATGCTTTGAAGGGAGAACAAAAACAAGGCAATAGACAGCCAAAGACTAAAGATGCGAACACTGCAGTTACTGTCTCAGAGGATATTGCATTATTCTCTATTGGAGGAGAAGAATGTCTCCATATATCAGACAACGACACCGAGTGGGTGGTAGATACAACAGCTTTCTACCATGCCACACCTAGGAAGGAGTTCTTTAGTACGTACCAAGCCGGAGATTTTGGTACAGTGAAGATGGACAACTCCAGTTTTTCAAAGATTGTGGGAATCGATGATGTTCGCATCCAAACCAAAGTTGGGTGCACGATAGTATTGAAAGATGTCAGGTATGTTCCCGATTTACGCCTGAATCTTATCTCAAAGATAGCCTTAGAGCGACAAGGTTATGAGAACTACATCGGCAAAGGCATGTAGAAGTTGAAAAAGGGATCTCTGGTGGTAGCCAAAGGACAGGCAAGTGGCACGTTGTACAAGACTCATGTGGAGGTGCATTCAGATAGCCTCAACGTAACAGAAGATGAGGCATCACCAAATTTGTGGCACAAAAAACTGGGTCACATGAGTGACAAAGGATTGCAGATTCTAGCAAAGAAGTCGCTTATTCCCTTTGCCAAAGAAGCAAAATTGAACCCTTGTGACAACTGCTTGTTTGGGAAGCAACATAGAGTCGTTTTCCACTCATCATCCAGAAGACAATCAGAGTTGTTGAGCAGAGTATACTCTGATGTATGCGGTCCCATAGAAGTGGAATCTTTGGGTGGCAGAAAGTACTTCATGACGTTTATTGATGACGCATCACGGAAGGTATGGGTTTATGTCATAAGAACCAAAGTTGAGGTGTTCCAGCATTTTCAAACATTTCATGCTATGGTGGAAAGGGAGACCGAAAAGAAGCTGAAGTGTCTCCGAACAGACAATGGATGCGAGTACACGTCAAAGGAGTTTGAAACCTACTGTGTTACTCGCGACATCTGACATGAAAAGACTGTTTCTAGAACCCCACAACACAATAGTATAGCTAAAAGAATGAACCAGACCATTGTGGAGAAGGTCGGATGTATGCTCAAAATGACAAAGCTGCCAAAGTCATTTTGGGGAGAAGCTGTTCGTGTTGCATGCTATTTGATCAACATATCGCCATCAGTTCCACTGAATTTTGAAATTCCAGAGAAAGTATGGTCTGGAAGGGAGATTTCTTACTCTCACTTGAGAGTGTTTGGGTGCAAAGCATTTGCACATGTATCTAAGGAGCACAGACATAAACTAGATGATAAAGCTACTCCATGCATCTTTATTGGCTATGGAGATGAAGAATTTGGATACAGATTATGGGATCCAAAAAATAAAAAGGTCATTCAAAGCCGAGATGTGTTATTTCAAGAAGGCCAGACCTTAGAAGACTTTGGGCAATTAGCCAAACCCAAAGTTAATGATGTTTTAGAAATCGTTCCCAATCCTACACCATCACAGCATGCTACTGATGAAGAAGAGCTACTGCAGCATGCAGCCAATGATGTAGAGTTGCAGGATGGATTACTAGAAGAAGAAGATCCAGAAGAAGAAGGTGTGGAGCAGGAGGAGCCACAACCCCCTCCGCCAGAGACTGTTGGTCCACAGTTGCGAAGATTAACAAGAGAGTCTAAGCCGTCGTCAAAATACCCTGCTTCTGATTATATTTTGCTTACTGATGAGGGGGAGTTAGAAAGTTTTCAAGAAACTCAGAATCATAAGGAGAAGAGTAGCTGGCATCAAGCTATGCAAGAAGAGATGCAGTCCTTGCAGAAGAATCAGACTTATGATTTGTTATTGGCTATGGAGATGAAGAATTTGGATACAGATTATGGGATCCAAAAAATAAAAAGGTCATTCAAAGCCGAGATGTGTTATTTCAAGAAGGCCAGACCTTAGAAGACTTTGGGCAATTAGCCAAACCCAAAGTTAATGATGTTTTAGAAATTGTTCCCAATCCTACACCATCACAGCATGCTACTGATGAAGAAGAGCTACTGCAGCATGCAGCCAATGATGTAGAGTTGCAGGATGGATTACCAGAAGAAGAAGATCCAGAAGAAGAAGGTGTGGAGCAGGGGGAGCCACAACCCCCTCTGCCAGAGACTGTTGGTCCACAGTTGCGAAGATCAACAAGAGAGTCTAAGCCGTCGTCAAAATACCCTGCTTCTGATTATATTTTGCTTACTGATGAGGGGGAGTTAGAAAGTTTCAAGAAACTCAGAATCATAAGGAGAAGAGTAGCAGACATCAAGCTATGCAAGAAGAGATGCAGTCCTTGCAGAAGAATCAGACTTATGATTTGGTAAAAATTCCCCAGGGTCGAAAACCATTGTAGAACAAATGGGTGTTCAAGTTGAAGAAAGATGGCAGCGGAAAGCTAGTCAAGTATAAGGCTCGATTGGTTGTCAAAGGTTTCAGGCAGAAAAAAGGTATTGATTTTGATGAAATCTTCTCGCCAGTTGTGAAAATGACATCCATTTGAGTAGTTTTGGGACTAGCGGCCAATTTGAATTTGGAACTTGAACAGATAGATGTGAGGATGACATTTCTCCATGGTGATTTGAAGGAAGAAATTTACATGGAGCAGCTAGAAGGTTTTGAAGAAAAAGGGAAAGAAAACTTAGTCTGCAGATTGAAGAAGAATCTTTACGGCCTCAAACAAGCGTTGAAACAGTGGTACGAGAAGTTTGACTCATTCATGGTGGGTCATGAGTACAAGAGAACTGCTGCAGACCAGCGTGTTTATGTCAAGAAATTTCCCGATGAAAACTTCATCATACTCTTGTTCTATGTTGATAACATGCTGATTATTGGACAGGATGCCACAACAATCATATCACTGAAGAAGGAGTTATCATAGTCCTTTGACATGAAGGACCTAGGCCCTGCACAGCAAATGTTGGGCATGCAAATTATGCGTGACAGGAAAGCCAAGAAACTATGGCTGTCACAGGAGAAATACGTTGAACGGGTGATTGCAAAGTTCAACATGAAAGATTCTAAGCCAGTCAATACTCCGCTGGCTAATCATTTCAAGCTGAGCAAGAGTTCTTGTCCATTCTTTACTAAAGAAAGAGAAGAGATGGAGGCTATTCCCTACTCATCTGCCGTAGGGAGTTTGATGTACGCAATGGTGTCTACCCAACTAGATATTGCTCATGCTGTTGGAGTAGTAAGCAGATTCCTTTCCAATCTAAGAAAAGAGCATTGGGAAGCAATCAAGTGGATTCTGAGGTACCTCAAGGGTACGACAAAAATGTGTTTGTGCTTTAGAGATGCTAAACCAATCTTGGAAGGCTATAAGGATTCAGATATGGCGGGAGATCTTGATGGTAGAAAATCTACATCAGGATTTCTTTTCACTTTTGCAGGGGGAGCTGTGTCTTGGTGGTCCAAGTTGCAAAAATGTGTTGTTTTATCCACAATCGAGGTAGAATATATTGCCGCAGCGGAAGCTGGGAAAGAGATGTTGTGGTTGCAGCGATTTCTCTAAGAGTTGGGATTAAAGCAAGATAAGTTCACGGTACATTGTGATAGCCAAAGTGCCATCTACATGAGCAAGAATTCGATGTACTATTCTCGCACAAAGCACATTGATATTCGGTATCATTGGATAAGCGAAGTGATGGAAAAGCAGTAATTGGAACTGATTAAGATCCATACAGATAAGAATCCAGCTGACATACTTACAAAGGTGGTCTCAAGAAACAAACTTGAAATCCGCAATGACATTACTGGGATGGACTTCAAGTGAGAAGTCAGTTATCCACATGGCCGTGAGGGGGAGAATTGTTAGCTCCACTGCCCAAATAGAACTCCCACTTAGTCTACTTTCTCCATTATCTGAAGATGGCTCTCCCACTCTTCCACCCACTCACTAGTGGAAGAGGTTGGTGGCAACCAATAAGCTCCTCCCTCAATTGTGTATAAATTGAGGTGAAGAGGAGGAGGGGTTTGAGATAGATTGCAGTGTGTGTAATCTAACAGAAGATTGTGAGAAGCAACAAGTGAGAGTGCTATAGTGAGAGAGTGAGGTGTGAGTGTGTAAACTCCCTCCGGGAAATTCTATAGTGGATAACTCTCTGTGGGCGTAGGCAATTGTCGAACCACGTAAATATTCTTGTGTTATTGTGTGTGATTAATTTCTGGTGTCTCACAATCCCAACAAATATTCGGATGCATTCATATGTCCTTTTAAAGTCCTTTGGTGTTTGATGTGAGGTTGATATAAACATTGTTCCCCTATTCTTTAGACAACAATTTAAAAAAATGACTACATTAGATAAATGTGTAAAAATTAGAGATGCAATTGATACAAATTAAAGATTATAAATAAAAATAAAATTAATTGCATAATTTAGAGACCATTGTGTAAAAATTATTAGGTGCACTTGGAGCATGCTATACTCCACTAATTTTTACTCCATTTTTTCTGCTAAGAATGTTGGGCTTATCAGCAAAATTGATGAACTGAAAAATGGAGATGAAATCATGTTTTGTAACTCAAAACGATCAAATATCTCACCTCAAAAATCCACGAAAGAAATTATATATTTGATATACAGAATTATTGTACAGCCATCCAATAGAACTGCTTCCTAGTCTATATATGGTGCTCCAAAACCCATTAGAAAAGATTGAACAATGTAGGAAAAATTGAATCCTGAAATCCGTCATTACACGATTCCATAAAATTTGTAACTAATGTACCTAACGATACAGTGGGAATAAATGATTGAGCACCAGCAGTTCAATTGAGAGAATACACGAAGAGAGGCTCAGCTAACGCAACTCTAGAATTATGTGAAAGCATATTTGATATCAATTTCACCGTTTGAAGGGTTGAAGGACGCCTCAATTTCCGCTGAAATGTTACCTCTACTCGATCCATGGATTCCAACTGTGACTGGCTTGGCCAACAGCTTAATTCCTTGCTTCCAGTATCTTTTATCTGAACACACATGTAAGATAAGAAAAAGCCCGAGAAAGTTTCATGCATTATTTCAAAAGTCTGTTGTAAACGAGGAACTTCCAGTTTCCCCCTTTTTTGTTAAGTAGGCGAGTTCAATAGTTTTAAAGCATAAAGATGGTATAATTAAGTGTGACAAACAGCAAAAATAGATACCAACTTTCCAGTATTTCACTCTAGCACAAAACTCAAGCATACCGGGTCCTGTTGAAAGCACAATGGAGTTATCAACGTCCATCACCCAATCAATCCAGAGCACAAAACCATGGCATATCCCAGGCTCCGTAAATTCAACCTAGACAAATTTCTTTGTAAGTATACATTTGATACCTGGTTCAGGTATTGCAGATCCTGGTGCAGGACCAGTTTTACACAAGCACATTCAAAAGCAGGGATAATTCAATACCTGGACTTTCCCAAAACAAGGACTAATGGGTTTTGAGAAATCAAACTCCATGACTGTAGATATCTCACTGAGCCCCTGAAATGATTTGAACTCAAATTGCATTTAATATCAAAATGTAATATCATTATATTCTCAAATAAAAAGTACTTTCCATTACACAAATTGATTACCTTATTCTCCCCACACTGCCAAACAAAAAAGGGAAAACAAGGGCTCTCTTGGGATGCGGGTAAATCACCACACGCCCCTAAGGTGGCATTTACTACAGAATGATCAAAACCTTCAATTTTTGTTAAACAGCGACGACTTCTCCAAAGATCCTAGACAAAAAGTTTTAAGTAAACCTCTACCACACAATCACATACTCGGGTCAAGGTAAAAGAGATGATACTTACAGGAAGAGACATTGCACAAGCCTTCAGTATTCCTTTACAAGGCATTATCAGTGCATCATTAGACAGGACTGGATCAAGCGTAGTTCGTTCCTTCCTTAGGTCCATTTCAAAGTGAGAAAAAACAATTTAGGTAAATTATACAGAGTGGATTGCATTTCAGTAGACCTTTTAAACAGAACATGGTTATATAAGTCCTTATCCATGTGCAGGTGCATCTACACCTCTATCTGATGCTCAGAGAATGCCTTTAAGATGATAATCTCCGAGTAATATTCAACTTAAGTTTACATAGATATGTTCTAATTATACTCCAGAAAACTTTCAAGTTAAAAAATGTGTCTATACATGCAGCCATGGCAAATAGTAAGTGCCATAAAATTCAGTAGGCACTCACTCTCCATGTAGACCTTGCAAACTAACATGACCATCTAAGAAAATGATATATTGATTGGATAAATAGATTCATTCCACACCTATTTGCAAATAATTATAAAGAAATCTCAATTCAATCATACACTAAGAAGCATGGACACGGACACGTGACATGACACGGACACGCCGACACGTTAATTTTTAAAAAATGCAAGACATGACATGTGGGGGACACACATGAAATATATAATTTTATATATTTATTATATGTTATATATATGAATATATCATTCAAAGATAATAAAAAATGTAATATGACATTAATTCCTATAAATTTATATGATTTTTGTTTTATTATTGTATCTTAAGTTATTTTGTTCAAACTTATAATTAGTTTCATATGTGTCAAATCGATAGACACATGTGTTTAAGCGATTGACACGTGTGTCCTTCAAGTGTCCAAAGAGTGTCCAGGTCTTTAAAAAAATTTAAAAAATAAGACACGCTTTGAAGAGTGTCGGACACGTGTGCTAAGGGTGTCCAAAGAATGTCGGTGTTTGACATAGACATGATACGGATACGTCACCTTCTTAGAAGTGTCTGTACTTCTTAGATCATACACAAGTCACTTAGCACCCTACTATAAAAATGAAAAAATTTGTATAATGTTTTATGTCTTCTTATAAACAATAAGTTATGTCCCATGCATTCATCAGTTTTTTGCACCTGCCAATGCTTCTTCATTGTTAAAAGTATCCTCATAAAAAATTCCACCCCTCATACTTCAAATCCAAATCTACCTAATTTAAGTAGGCATGGAACATATTCAAAACCTTTGGTAAAAAAGATCTTAAGCGTCACTGATGAAGAAATAGTCAGAATAACATCAGTTGAGTAAACTTCCAACACCTTATAGTGGGACTTTAATTCATTTTCAGGCATTAATACATCCAGAATGATCATTGCAAGTGATATTCTTACAAAACTAAGCATTTCAATCTGAGACAAAACTGGATGCAATATTTCCTAGTTCAGACACACTATTTGATGCTCAAATCAAGACATATCGTACAAATACAAATTAAAGTAGTATTATTTACCAAAACCGCAGGTTTTGCCATGGAAGCATGCTATCATTTCCACAATAAAACGGTTCACCAACCAAGAGCTCAACCTGCAGATAGAAAGTGAAATACCCCCAGTGTTTACATTCAATTTCATAATTGGTCTGCAGCAGCTTATAGTAATAAAAGTTACTTAAAATAAACAAAGAAAAGGTGGAAATTAACTATTGATAATTTGGCAATTCACATCATGTTTGACTAGAAGACAAACACTGTAACATTTTGGAGGGAAACTTCATAAAAACTAGAAGCATAAACATCTGGCTTGACATACAAGCTGAAGTGGAGGAAACGACCTTTTTCTGATGAGTATCATGCATGGTCAACTTATTTTTCCTTTTCTCAAGAACTTCAACTCGATCCATTGAGTAACCATTTGCAACGGCAACTGCTTGTAAATATTTGGCACCCTTTTCTTGAAGCACCGGAAACAAAGAGATTACATGTGATGTTTTGGAGAGATGAGCAATGGCAATTGTTAAGAAAACACTATCATCTGCAACAAGGCATAATGGGGAAATTTTTCCCTGCAACTGCAAGCAAACCAACTAAAATTAACGATCCTCGGATGTTAAAAATGAAAAAGTAATGCAATATAAACAATGGAGTATTGTATTCATGAGGAATCCAGTAACAATCTCAGATTCAGTGTATATGATAAAAGATGTATGTCGATAGAGAGAGTTTCTACTTTCCAAGAGCTAGTTATTAGACCAATCTGAGCACCCAGAAGCTACACATAAGTCAGAAATATAGGAATTATTGATAGATGGTAGCCAGTTTAGGGATTTTAACAGGGTCTCAATATCTTTAGATATGGTGTGCCCTTGTGGCTTTCTATTTTATTGGAAGTGATGTAAACTCAGAGAGAGGCCTTTCTACAAAATCTTAACAAACACTTTCTAAAGTATAATATGTATGAAAGTAGAAGATGAATGTAGTAACTCTACCCTTGATATCCACATACATCAGTACCAGAGAAGAAAAATTAGACAAAGGAGAGAATATAAATGTATGCAAGCATGGGGTGAAAATTATCTTCAAAGGTGAAATCAGAATGTATCATGAACCATATTCATTCCTCATTCATTGCCGAGTTTCACAAAGTAATTTGATATTAGAGAAGTAGATGAAAAAAAATGGAAGTAATTCTATTCACTGTTCACTGCTCCAAGAGCAGAACATTTCTGCATGGCTGGGGGAAAAAACCATTGTAGAATTCAAATTTTTTATTTTTATTTTAATCTTAATTGAGATTTTATCTTTTGTTGTTGTTGTTGCTGTTTTTTTTTTTAAATTATAAAATACTTGGCATAGTACAACACTTTTGCGCATTGAGGACTGTTCAAGTTTGATGGTGTTAATGCATATCTCTCTGTGTGAGAGAGAGAGAGATCTTACAGCCTTTTTAACAGCTTCTAACAAGGAATATCTCCAATTGCTATCTCCATAAATTGCAACTCTTTCTGGTGATAGAATGAGCTGATCGTCTCGAGCAAATTCATCATACTGCTCAATCTCTGTTCCCTCGGCTTGAGTCTCAAATTCATATGAGATGCTGATATCAGTATGGATAGCATGTAAGTGAAGCTCTTCATCTTTGGATATGGACAGACCTTTTCCTGGGGAAAAGTAGACACATTGTTTCCAGTGGTCACACCAATCCCCTGAACCTAGTCAAGAAACAAAGAAAATTAAAATTTTGATAAAATGAAAACCAATTTAAAAGAAAAATAAATAAATAACAAACATAAAATGCACCTTTTATTAAGTGAGCATCAAATTACAGAATTTGAAGCAGAGGATCCCAATATGTAAGCTTTATTTAGTTCATCATCTACTAAGAGCTGCTCAAGAATTGAACCCTTTGCTGAAAGTAAACATGTATAATTTCCTAGGCTGAATTTGAGAGTAGCTTCGTAAACACATTACTTCCAATTAAGTCTTAGGTACAATAGAACAATGCATTAATGCATTCATATGGAGATCTACATTCTAGTTAAATTACTTCCAACCAACTTCAAATACTTGTGTGATTTCTAGAAGTAGATATGACCTGCTTCTTCAAATGATTTAGGACGTCCAACTAAGAGAATGAAAAAACAGTGTGTTCATTAAAGTAACATGTAGCATTATCCTTAGCCTTCACTTTTTTGTTCCCTAATTCTGACTAAGAGACAACATCAGAAAATAGCCAAAAAGCATCATGCTTTATATGTTAACTGATTCCTTATTCTAAGGCAACTTCCAAACATCACTTTAGAACATTATAATTACAGAAAGTAACGTAAAACACCTTCACTCACTAGGGAATGATGACTGTAACTCCTTATTGAATGGGAAACTTATCCATTTTGGGCCAGTGGAATAGAAAATTGTCCCTTCACAATCAAGCTGAAGTACCCACCTGAAAAAGAAACCAAGATATTGGAATAACCATCCCTGGAAAAACTTGTGACAGAAAATAGTAATTACGGTACCAACATATATACCATGAAACAACAGCATGAACTGTACCATCATTAGTTGCCTTTATGCGCAGCTTGGCTTTGCCTTGGCTTTCTGGCCTTTTCCAAAAGTCAAATTCAAATATTTTGAAAGGTTCTGACAGCTGGATGAATGCTAAACTGAGTACCAATAGAAAATAAACCTCGATTTTCTTAGTAAGTTTTTCAAAGGTAAATAATGTCTTACAAGTTTTATTTCATCTTCTATTGCATCACAATGCATGGCGATCTGTTGCGATTTGACACATAAAATTGTCTCCTTTTCTGTCGGAACGAGATGAATTTCATCTGACGCTTTTGCTTCATTATTGTATAAATCATGCACCTTCCACAAATATTTGCTTTCAACCAACTGTGATGAAAAATTGAGAGGGAGACAAATTAATTTAAAGTCAGCACTAAGTGATCACAGAAATCCTTTGTCAATAGTAAAACAAATAATATAAGGCATCATAAGATGGAGAAAGCAAGAGCAGCATACAATTCGAGAAGAGCAGTGAAAATAAGAAGAAAGAATATGCAAGGATTCTCCGTGTTTGTGAGAGTCCAACTTTCAGTTAAATGGCAATATGAAATTTTACATCAGAAACATGTAAACCTACGATTTTTGCAGAGACTTTACGTTAAGGCAAGGGGAAGGGTATGAACTGGACCAGGAGACCATTCTCTGTGTTCATCATAAATGTTTAGTTTTTTATTTTTACATTTTTACTTATTATTTTATTTGGTGGCAGTGGGGAACGATTGATTCTGACCAGGTATAGTCTGAACTGCCTGGAAACCTGCTTGGATTAAAAAATTTACAAGCTACCTGATGATTCTAGAGAACAAATCTGTTGTTCTGAAACCCATCCAGAAAATCCCTAGACTCTGACACTTGCCAATCAAGGTGATCAATTTGTGATTCAGCAAGGTATGTCCAATCATCCATGAGGTCTGACATTCTACGGCCAAATCAGGGCTGTCAGAGAAAGCTACCCCATTTCTCAAGTGATCTATCACCCAAATTGTGCAAGCCAAAACGCATACCTTTCCGTTCTACACTTACTTTAGTGATTCAAAAAACAAGTACAGCACATAAGACTAGCTTATTATTTCTCAATGAAGTAGTGTACGTAATCACAGTCCGACAAGCCAAATTCTGGGTTACGTAGTAGTATCCACATATGAAATCCTTTCTGAATGTCCTTGTGTTGTCCATTTGTTGTATAATAAGATGGGGCTCAATATTCTCAATAATACCAAAGCTCCATGCATATGTTATCTTATCACATATATCTGGGCATAACTCATAAGTTTATTTGAATTATCAACCCACATGCATGTTTCAATTGCTTCAATCTCAATGCATTGAAGATCTTAGCTGAGGCTTGTGAAACGAAACTATGATGTAGCTTTTCAAGAATGAAGTCATTGATGCCCAACCTTACAAACTAAATGGAGGTATACATATTTTAAAAAACTCAAAGAGGTCTCTACACTATGATTTTAATCTATTTATAGCTGATGGGCAGTAATTACCCTTCAAATTTAACAATAAATTAATGCAATGAAATTCGGATCAAATGGTAAAGGTAAGGAATGGTTCATGAAATGAAGCTATAAATATATAATTGAAGGAAGATAGAAGAAATTTAAAGAGAACATATTATTGTAACACATTGCTATATTGAATAGAAAGGAATTATATATTTGAGGTCAAACACCTGGCCATAAGTAGTTGCTCGGTAAGGTACTGTCTGTGGGTTTTCTACCAATAGCTTATCATGTGCATTCTGTAAAGTTGGAATTAATCCTTCACCCAACAACTCTGAGTCAAGGATCTCACTGACCTGCATTTAGAGTTTTATACTTCATAAGAATAAAAACAAGAAATCAAATACAGTGGCATACGCCAAAGAGTCACGTGCCAACTAAAGCAAGGAGTGTGACATGGGATTTGCACTAAGGATGAGAAGTTCTGGTCTCTCTGTAAGACATCACAAGCAACATACAAGGCACAGATTGTCAAACAACTGGCCACAAGTATTTTACAGGATTTGTTCTTGTTTCAATTAGGGTAACGGTATGTATTTTACATATAAATATATCGTGAAAAAAAGAATGATACTAACAAGAACATCTGCACGTGAAGGGACATCCACACCAACTTCTAGTTCATCAGATCGCTTGTTGATTACGCGCACTTTTCTTTCCATACCATTGAGGTGCAGAACTTTCCGCATCAGCTTCACCATCGGAAGATACGATTCACATGCCGTCACCATACCCTCGGAACCAGAACATGTTGCTGACTTACCGGAGTCCATTGCTCGTGCAGCCATCATTGATAGCAAGCCAGTTCCAGCACTACAACAACGAAAGTACTTATTCGATCACAAATCACAATCCACCAAAAAACAAAACCAGCAGTACATATACTCTCAATAGCAAACAATAGCATTGTATGTGTCAACAAACAATTATCAAATGCACCCAACCCAGAATTCAAAACAATGGCGACAACGAAAAAATTAGCATAATTTAGCTCAATCTTACACTAAATTTATAATTATTGGGTACAGGATTGTAAAGCTGCTAACTTTTTGATTTGAATTATAAATAGAGACTAAAGCATGTTCAGAATATTAATTATCAATGAACTGTTTATGAAAAAGTAGGAAATACCCAATATCAAGAACATGGCAAGGTTTCGTGACGGTCTTGTCGATGGCTTCGCGGAAGGCTTTGTTACGGAGAGAGTCGTTAAGCATGTCGACGTACGATGTTGTGGCCAAGAAGGGTGGTTGAGGAGGAACATCTGGAGCTTCGTCTTCTTCGATGACGACCCATTCTGAGTTACCTGTGAGTGGGTCGAGTTTCAGCTGGAAAATGCGCCCTGAGCTCATGCTTCGAACGGGTTTGGGGTTCAAATGAGAGGTTAGGAGAGGGGTGATTGAGGCTCTGGTGATGGGAAAGAAGGAAAAGGTGGAGGCTTTTAGGGTTTTGTGGATGAGAGAGCGCATGAAAGAGGGTTTTTAGTGGGTGTTTGGTTTGTGAGGTTTTGCGAGAAAAGAAAAGAAACGAGGGTTTACTACTCTTCCAGGGATATCATAGTAATTTCAAGATTATACACTACAAAACGTATTTTTGTGTAGTTGATGTTGGCAAGTAATCGGAAAGCTGAATGATCTGTGAGGTGAAGAAGGGAGGGGAAATGGCGGGTGGAGCATCACCGTCTTGCATCTTCTGTCAAATCGCCAGCTCTACCACTCTTCTCCACTCAGTTTGATCACTCTCTCTCTCTCTCTCTCTCTCCCCATATATACATACATATGAAAGTTTGTGTAAAATATCTTATTTTTACTGATTTATACAAGTTGAGATTGTGCAGGATGAGAAGGCTGTTGCTTTTCAAGACATCAATCCTTCAGCACTCAGGTTTCAAATTATTTATTTATTTATTATAATAGAGCTGTTTTTGGTTACTGTTGAATGTTTTGTTTTCTGTTTGAGTATATATATTCATTGCATAGACAGTTGGGAAGATTTGGAGACCCATTTCAGAATTGGGGTTGTATATTGTATCTGAGATTTTGGGGGTTTCAATTTGATGAAGATTTTAAAACATGATGACAATATGTTTAAAATTTTGGGGGTTTCAAGCTCCTACTCTTGCCTCTATCCACTCCCACCCTTTGTTTCTGTCGTCATTCTCAAACCTCTCACAAAGGGAGTCCGAGGAATTTGCCAAGTCCTTTAAACCTCTTCATTACCCATTCTTGTGCTGTGCCTCAATCCCTTCACCCACTTTATAAGGGACAAGCATTTGAGTTACACTTAGTCAAGTTCACTTTCAACTGCTGTATCTTCGTCTTCTAGTAGGAGATTGTTATTCTTGAACCACCAGCTCCTTACCTGTTATATTGGCCTCAACTGACTTTTTTCCCCCTTTAAAACATTAACACCATCGCCGTTCAACTAAACCCCCCACTTGTTCACCTTTCTCAGCATCCTATCTCATTAATTGTCTTCAACTTGGTACAATTTTTGTATCTGTCTTGATTGATTCTGAGCTGGGTGGGTGAGATATAGCCACCCTAATGCTTCTTGGCAGATGGCTAGTCAAGAGTGTTGGGCAAAATATTACCTCTCTATAGCAGAGGCTAGTGTGTTCAATAGATCTAATGAACATATTTTATAGAAGCCATTTTTGGTTTATTATTCCTCTTCTTTTTCTGCACCTGTCCGGGAGGGTATATTCATTTTTTGCCCAGGATTTGCGTAAGGAAAGAAATATCTAGTCTTGTATTTAGGAGTGTAGGTGGATACTTTGTTATCTGGCTGTAATTCTCTGTGTAAGCTGTAATAATATCTTATATATTTCGAGAAAACAGAAATTGAGTTGTAGATAGATCTCAATCAAATGAGGTAGAAAGAAGTTTGTTCATCATAATCTCTCCTTTCTTTTCAATGTTGTCAAACTCATAAATTTTTACTCTTATGTTAAACTCATGGATATGAATAAACCATGTTATGGCCAGGATGCTTGTGCAGAAATCATTTTCCAGCAAGGAGGAAAAGTCCTCCTTGGATGTGATTATTTACTGTCATTTGTTGCTTGTGATACGTTTTTGGATCACCAAATAAATAACCATTACATGAACAATTCTTGTTGATATTACACAACCACTGATGAACAGTTTGTGATATTGCATGGATTAACTTCTATATTCTGCTTTATCTGTAGAAAAGAAACAATACCATAGAGGAATCTATTCTTTGAAATGTGCTATTATCCAAAAAAAATTATTTTGTGTAGAAAATTTCAGATTTGGCTAGTTTTCTTCTTGGTTCATCATTCAGGATTTTAAACACTGTACTCCAAGGCAAAGTATGAGTGAGATTTTATTCTGGTGGAACCCCACCTGAACACACTGGACCTGGCTTGGTTTGGTTAAAATGTATGATTTAACATCTATTCAGTCCCTTGGTAAGTTCCCAAATTGGGAACCTATTCATTGGTTTTGCTTTGGGCTTTTATGTTTCTAGACATAGCACAACTATGATTGCCTGTTCTTCTATATTGTGTTTTTTCTAATTATTATTATGTAGACTTCTGATTACCAGTTAGAATTGCTAATTGTGAAGACTTTGGTGAAATTTGTTGATGGCATAGGAAATGATACTGTCGTCATCTTACAAATTGGATATTCACATATACCCTCATAGGTTTGTTGTCATCATTGACGTCATAATTTTAATCGGTCCCATTGAATTGTTGTCTAGATAGGCATTATTTAGTAGTTCCTGTGGAGCACATTCCAACAGTCAAAGACCTCCAGAGAAGAACCGAAGACCATTCTTTGGGTAAGAAAATTTAATAATAGCAACCAAACTGAACTCTGAATCAGTTTTGGGTTTCATTTTTCTTACTGTGTCTTATCTTTGAAATTTCCTTCTTGGCCAGTGAGTCACATGTTAAATGTAGGGCAGAATCTGTTGCACAGAGATGCACCCCAGTCCAAGCACAGGTATTGTTTCTGTGTGGAAGCATTTTCACATTTCACATGCCGTTGAATATCAACTTTTCCATATACCAAATTGAATGAATAAGTGAAGGTTTTTATTTGCTTAAATCACTTCAGTATTTCGGCATCGAAGATCTGTAATCTAAGAAAGACAGACATGGACATACAATACGATATAGACACGCCGGCACAACAATTTTTCCAAAAATGTAGGACATGACACGTGGGGGAGGGGGATACACACAAAATATATAATTTTATATATTTATTATATGTCATATATCATTCAAAGATAATAAAAATGCAATGTAATACGAACTTTTGTAAATCTACATTATTTTTCTTTTATATTTGCACCCTAGGTTATTTTGTTTAAATTTATAATTAGTTTCTTGTATGTTTAAGTGATGGACACATGTGTTCCCTAATTGTCGAGGTCTAAAATTAAAAAATAACAGGACATGTTTGGACAAGTGTCTGACATGTATTGAGAAGTGTCCAATGAGTGTTTGTGTCCGAAACAGATACGCTACTTTCTGAGAAGTGTCTGTGCTTCATAGTCGGTAATAGTATTGCATATTCAATACATAATAGAGTTTTAACTGCTGCTCCTCTTGACTTTAGCTCAAATCGATGTTTGTTTTGTACCTACTCTTGTTATGGTGTGTGCTATTTGATAACATTGATTGGTTCATCCACACATAAAGAAGGGAAAAAGACACTGTTTACCCTCCTAAAACTCATAGTTGATTATAAAGGACAGAGCCTGTTTTTTGTTGTTCTAATTCCTATTTGTTATCTATGGTTCTTATGAAAGATCATTTTATCTTGGTTGCTATAATATAATAGGTAAAACCCATATTACAGATTCAAAATTAACTATATTTTCTATTTTTTTCTTCTTTTATGAGTTTTACTAAGCAAAGTTTGATTCTTATGGGTTTCTTCTAGATTTGGATTTCATCAACCTCCTTTGAACAGTGTTAACCATCTCCATCTCCACTGTTTTGCACTTCCCTATACACCAAGGTGAGCAGTTTGGTACGTGATTGTTGCCATATGCCTGAATTCTCTTCTACTATCGATTGTTCGAATTGCTGAAATTTTTTCCATGCAAGTTATATGTAAATACCTGCTTTAATTATCTGGAGTTTAAACAGATGGAAACATATAAAATACATGTCTTTGGGATGTCTGGGTGGATTTATTGAAGCCGAGAAGTTGTTGGAAAGGATAAAGCCATTTTCTTCTATTCCATCAAAAGTGTGACTTTATTCACCGTTCCTCTGTGTATTGGATTGTATTTAATCTCATTTCACAACTGTAGGTTATGTTATAATCACTTAAGTCAATATATGCAAATGCTTTTTCCCTTTTAATAAACTTAATAGAGATTGTGATACGCCTTTGCTTATCTTATAATGAATTTCTCTTTGTTTTGCAAGTGAATTATTCATGGGATGAAGCCCTTCTCTGTTAATACTATTATATTTGAAGATGCTTTACATTTTCTGCAGTCCTTGTTCATATTCCTGCTTTTGATAAAATTACTCCACAATAATAGTGGTGCTGGTGTATGATATTTTCTCCTTGGAGGAAACGCCAATCTTGTTCAACAACTGGGTATTTTTGAAAACTGAATATATTGAAGTGCAACTACTTGGCTTTTGGAGTTATCCGGTGTTTGATCTTCTGTTTTTTTGGTTTTCTCTTGTTTGGTAGATTTCCTCGGAAAAAATGAAGGGTGCATTTGGTTTAAGCAAAGATTGTATCTTTGATTGGGTTGTTAGTTGATTTCATGTTCTTAGTTCTTGGTGGTCTTCAGTCTCAACTAGAGATCAAAATCCACTCTATTGTCATTATTCATCTATAATTTGTGAATGTTTCATGCCCCCCAGTTAAAAGGAATTTGATTTTTCTGATATGGTCACTTTATCCCCCTCTCTTTCTCTCTCTCATATTACTTTTTTGGCTTATGAAAATTCAGTACTACGTTAGCATAGGTTCTCAACATTCAGTTGATGCATGTTACATATGAAGCGCGAATGCTTCTAGAAGAAAATTGTGACCGTATCATAACTATTTCGAATACAAATACTTTTCAAATATGTATTTGATACTTCCTCAATGTATACTAAAATTGTAATAATTTTTTGCAGTGTGTTATTAGAGTATAGTTGCTAATATAAATACAAAAATAGTTTTTTCTATGCTTCTTAGAGAAGATGAAAATAGAGAGATCAAAGTATTACTCTATTTTTTCTGAATTTATTGAATTAACGTATCCTTAAGTTCAAATCTAAAAAAAATAGAAAAAAGAAAAAAAGTATTCTTAAGTTAGGTTATGTTTGAATCATGGATTTAGGTGATCATGAATTTAAGTAGTGATTTGGGGAAAAAAATGAAAAGGAAAAAGGTGAGGACAATGTAAATGCAATGTAAGTTAATTTTTTTTTTTTTTCTATTTTTATTTTATTTTTCTTTCTCTTTTCAAATTCCTATCTAAATTCATAATCCCAACATAGCTTTAATATTTTGTACATGTGTCCCATATACATATTCATGCTCAATGTTACTAAAATAGGATTTTGTAGAGCAACTTTTCTCTCATCTTTGTTTGATAAGACTCAAGTAAGGATGAGTGACTTTTCTCTTATGTGAATATATGAACAATGTTATAATATATTTATATATCATATTAAATTTATCATTATATTTATTATAAGTACATTGGTTGAATGAATCTCAATAATACAACACTACTCTTTGGATAATCATAGAGCAACTATGAATATTTTGTGTACTTGCCAAATTCCTCAACCACTGAGCTAGATCATAGCATTTTAGCCATAAATTTCTAGACCAGAGGAGGGTGGTGTGGTGTCATGTATGATGTATCTATTGGTGTAGTAATTCACCTAACTTTGTCCCTGTTAGGCTCTACTACTTATACATACTCATCATCCTAAACATATCTGTTGTGTCATCAATTTAGGAATTAGGTCTTGGTTAGGACACACTATTTGTGACTGTGACCTTGTTATATACTCATCTACATTTATCATTGAAGGTAGCAGTTGTCATCCTTCAAGGTTAAACCCAAATCCAGCTCTATTTTCCCATTCTAAGGCTATCATTCAAAACAAAATTAGGAGGTGATACTAGGATTGTGGTGACAAAAGGCCACAAATGTGATCACATGCATTGCATGTAGCCAGCTTAAAGACAGTTTGCAAGGTTAAAAAGTGGCCTTTAGGTGGTTATATACAGAGACCTTTGTTTATTGTAACTGGCTCATGTTCTATTAAGGAGATTTTGGGTTCGAATCTTGATATGAGAATAATGAGTGGTTACATATATCTCGAATTTGTCCTCATAAATTCCAAAGATCCAAAGACCCTGCCTAGGAATGGTTCTTGATTATCCGAAAAATAAAAATAAAAATAAAAGAAGCTAGCTATCATGTTCGCTATTTTGCCTCTCATTCTCTTGGCTAGTTTTGTTTAAAGAGTTATTCCATACTAGCTAAATATAAAAATTTATATATATTTTTCATTTCTGTTTTTCTCTCTCATATTTTCTTTTTTATCGGAGCATGTAAATTTTTTTTTAAAAAAAATGAATAATTCTTGACTAGTTAAAATAAAAGGAAAAGTTCTGTTGGACTACATAAATAAAAAAAAGTGACTTGTTAAAAAGATATTATTTTGTTATGAGATAATTAAGGTAGTATTTGATTTATTAGAATGGAATAAAATGAAAATGATCATTCCATTAAAATATCGATTTTCATGTTTGATTGACTAAAAAATATAATAAAAAATACATTATAAATAAAATTATATGCCAATATAATGGAATGATTATTTTATAAAAAAAAAAAACTTAAAAATTACTACTTTATTCTATCTCATTCTAATAAATCAAATAGAGCAAAGTGGGTTGGAGTATTTGATATAATGCCAATTGCCTAATGTTGACGTGAAACAGGGGTGTTATTAACTTGGTAATAATGTATGGTAGAAGTGAATCATTAGCCTCTTGCAATTCATTATGCACATTCAAGATGCAAACCATCTATATTCTTGTAGCCGGCCATGCAATGTAGGTTCGAGTTACAAAAATAATCTCCAAAATGAAGGTAAGAATGTGTATATCTCTTACGCTTCTTTGGATTATGTTTTAGCGCGATTGTGATGGATTGAGTTATTATTTTTTATGTTGTATACATATTTTTCCCTTAAAGTATGTTTGTTTTATAGTGTTGAATAATTGAACTTATATAATAGAGAGATTATTTAAAATAGGAGATAGAAAATATGTGAAAGAAAATAAAATCATTAGCCTCCTGCAATTCATAATGAACATTTAAGATGTGAAACGCCTATACTTTATATATTTCAAAATGTAAAGCCTCTGTTTGGCAAGTGAGGTTGGAGGCTTTTTTGGCTATTTTAGCCACAAAAAACAAAATAGGCTATTTTAGCCATAACAAACAAAACATCACATCCAACCCATAATCATTACATTCTTCTCTCACAAAAAAACTCAAAAAAGCCAAAAAGCCAAAAAGCTCTTCCCAAACCAAGCTTTTAAGCCCAGGCTAAAATAGTCAAAAAAGCCAAAAAGTCAAAAAGCCAACCCACTTCCCAAACCAAGCCAAAGTGTGCAGTGGGTTTGAGTCACGAAAATAATCTCTACTCTATTTGAACTTGTTTTAACAAGAGTCCTGTGAAATGAATTATCATTTTTATATATGAATTCATATTTCTCTCCTAAATGCTTCTTGTTTCACCATGTTGAATGGTTTGTAATTCATTATTGATCAATGAAAAACTTTATTCTTACATAAAAATTATACAAAAAATTACATAAAAATGATATAGCAATGCCCGCTAAAAAACCGCAAGCCCACAAAGCCCGGCCCGGGCCATTATTACACCCTTAATATTATTTGAGGAAAACCTAGAGGGTAAAATTATTATCTTGTCCTTTGAATTTAACTAACCAAAAGTCAAAATGTCATCAAAAATAGAATGGTCATTTTGATTTTATTATAATATTTTATTACATACCTTTTTTGTAAAAAATCAAAATATATATATTTTTTCTCTATTTTTCTAATTAAAAAATCAAAAAATATACTTACATAATACATCTCAAACAACTCAATACGTAAAAGCTAGCTACCTGTGGAGAGTCCTGTTTTGCCTCCTCTTGGAGTTACTCTTGGATAGGAGAGTAGGTGAAAAAATAAATTGAAGATGCTTTAATAATGCAGCAAGAAATGATGAGTAACTAAATTTTGGAGCATTGAATCATTAAAAAATGGACAATGATTGGTGGCCATAAATTCTGTGGCTTAAATGATTCGAAAATGTCAAAACGACGTCATTTTGACATTTTCGAGCCATTTGAGTCATAGAATTTGTGGCTACCAAATATTTTCCTTAAAAAATATATGCATAATGTTTGAGATTTTAAAAAATTTATCAAATATTTTATATAAATGTAGTACTTACACAATGTGAATCTCATATGAGTCACATACTATATAAGATATTTGATAAAAATTTTAATAAATTTTTTAAACCTCTTAACATTTTTAATATATATATATATATACATTTTGAAGCATTGATTGGTAGTTCGACGTCGTGTTTGAGAAGTTTGTGTGTTGTGTTTTATTTTTTTATTTTTTTAACTAAAAGACAAACTTTTTTCAAAATAAAAAAAAAAATTCAAACAAAATATCACATCCAATCCCATAATTATTTTACTTTTTCTCTTACAAACATCACATCTAACTACAAAAAAACTTAACTATCTTTCTAAATACCAAAATTTTTTTCTCTAATAAAATCCTACACCTACATAAAAACTCACTTCCCAAACACCCACTATATTTATGCTGTGGGCTTAGCATAGGTTAGGTGATAGAAGAATTGTAAGATAGAATCTGGTGGTACTGAGTACTCACCATGGGTTATTTTGAAAAGTTGGCTTTTAGTAATTTTTTTTGATTTGTAGCAAAAGTTAAAAGTTGGCTTTTTTGTATTTTTTTATTTGAGAAGTTGGTTTTTAGCTATTGGTAAAATTACAATTCTACCGCTCATGAGTCAAAATGTGTTACATGATTGAAGTTGTAAATATTTTAAATTAATGGGGGTAGTTTGGTCATTTTATTGTGATTTGACATCATAAACAAATATTAATCAAAAAAGCCAAAAGTAACTTTTTACCAACTTCCTAAATCATTTGTCTAAAAAAACCAAAAGCTTAATTAAAAGTAAGGCATAGTTTGGGAAGTTGGTTTTGGTGGGTTAGGGGCTAAAATAGCCACAAAAAATAAAATAGGCTATTTTAGCCACAAAAAACAAAACATCAAATTCAACTCATAATCATTAGACTCCTCTCTCACAAAAAAAGTCAAAAAAACCAAAAAGCCAAAAAGTC